TTGTATGGAAAAAAAATCTGTCTTTGAGTTAGGATGCTGAATCTAATTCCCAAGCAAAAACTGATTTTAGTTCAAATTCATCTTCAAATATATCTCGCTTTTTCCTTCCCTAGCATAGATGAACAGAATTATCTTTTTCTCTCTTGTGACTCCACATTTACAACATCACCAGGAGAGATAGTCTGGACAATGGAATCATTTGGCACAGAGAAAAGCAGCTGAAAAATTATTCCTTCAAATGCCTTCAGTGCACACTTTATCCTGTTTGCTCTGCTGATACCGCTGTTAAATGAAGGTGATGACGCATCTTTTTCAAGAACAGTGGTGTACGCACAATTTTCAAGCTATGCTAGTCTCTAGGGAGAAAGAGTTACAGCTTGTCCCATCAGTCTGCCTCATGGTCCTAATTAGAAGTCAGGCAGGATTGCTGAGCCTTTGTCTCCTCAGGGAAGTTCAGACTGCATTCAGCCTGGGCCTGTAGAAGCAGCATACAGAAATGGCTAGGTGTGTGTGTGTGTGTGTGTGTGTGTGTGTGTGTGTGTGTGTGTGCACGCGTGTCTGTGTGCATATAAAAATATATAAGGGGGAGGAGGGGGAAAATCACAGCATGCGCAGTGAGGGGAGGAGGAAAGCTCGGGGATCATGAGGAAGAAAATGAGAGAGAGCAAAACACATGCAGCATGGCTGGGAAAGGGGGTGCTGAGAGGGTCTCTGGGGAGACCAGAGTGTAGGGGATATGCAAGAGGGCGAGGACCAGTCACTCAAAGGCTGTGCCCTGTGCAGTGGCCAAGGTTGGAGGGGACACTCGACAGGGAGGAAGGAAGGAAGCCCAGGGCCACTACGTGAGCGGGGAGGAGGAGAATGCAGGGGATAGTGTTAGGAGGAGATAGTGGAGGGGTATCGGACAGGGAGGACATGGGGGACATGCAGGGAGGAGAGGGCAGGTGGGAACACCCTGTGGAGGCAGATGAGGACAGCATGGGAGCCTGTGGAGAGGACCAGGCTGGGGGTGCAGGGGTCCCATGGCCAGGGGTGGTGAAGGCAGCCCAGAAGGAAGGAGGCACACAAGATCATCGCAGTGGGGAAAGCAAGGGAGAAGAGCTCAAGGAATGGGGCGCTGGCACCCATGTAAGGCAGACTGTCAAGGAGAGACTGGCTGAGGAAAGAGAGATGCAGAAGAGGCAGGAGAGAGTGAGTACTGCAGACAGATGAGCAAAGGAAGAGGATGGGAAAGCCCAGGCATATACTGCAGTTACACTGTTTTTACCATGCTCTATGGCAATTGGACCTGTTCCTGCGATGTAAGACTGCAGTTCAAAACAAGCCAAAGCATCTGTCTGACAAGCTGTCCTCAGGCTCTGTGACTGAAATAGCCACGTCCTGGGGGCAGGCCATATCGCACTCCTGAGGACAAGGTTGTACAACACTCGCTTTGCTTTCCTGTGGTTTGCCCTGCACTCACCAAAGGGGAAGCAGAATTTAAACTATGGTTTTTGCCCTGCTCAGGGGTGAATAGCACCCATCAGATGCTGATCGCATCCTTTCAACATTGGGGCGATCATAGTCAAAATGTAGAAACTTGTGAGAAGCAGAACAAAATTTCCTTCACTGTTGCTTGAAACATTTCATTGCTTGGAAAGAAAAAAAGGACGCGAGCACTTAGAAGTGTTCCCTCTTCTGAAACCTAGAAAATAGATCACCTGGGTTAGAAAAGATTGGAAAGTCTTGTCTGAAATCCAGCTGCTGCTGAGTGGACTCAGTCCTACTCAAAGCCAGAAACTTGCACACTAAGTATCTGAAATGATGAAATGAATCCGGCTCCTATAAAATGCGTTCTCTCTTTTCTAATTTTCTCTAATCTTAGTCCAGACACCGAAGAGAACAAATATTTATGTCATCTCGTTGACTGAATGATGAGTTTTCGTGGCCTGTAAGTGTAATAGATAGTTTATTCCCTGCATATAGGATTTCAGCAAGGTATAAGGGACACGAGTCTGGGTTTTGTTTTGTTTTGTTTTGTTTTTTGCATGTGGCAAAGCACTTGGGAGAATTGACCCTAAAAAGCTGTCAGGATAGCCATTATAACATCTACAGATAGTCCATACATATAGCTTATGCTCCACTCTCATTGCTTCTGTATTAGCAGGAAATTCATTGTGCCATCACTTGTTTCAGTCACCTACCTCACACCTTACTATCACAAGATCTCCCCCTCAGCTGTTCATAATGGTGTCACAGTTTCAATTGCAATATTCCAAGAAAGGCAATATCGACATTAGGCATTTTTTATATTAATAATTGTACAGGAAGCCACGTGAGAAATAGATTTGTAGCATAGTTATGGATTTTTCTTGTTTTTAGGGAGTAGGTTAGGAGATGCTTCGAAAAATTCAAAAATTACATCCTAAATAGTGTTAAAAATTATTTGAAAAGCAAAACAAAACATTCAGAAGCTGGACATTCAATCACACAACTTTAATTCAGCGCAGTAATTTTTCTAATTGATGCTTGCCTGATTCAGCGCATAGACTGGGAATGGCACTGGGATGTTCAGACTGCTATTTATCTCATTTTTTTGCAGAAATTTGACCATCTATAATGTCTGAGAAATGGAGCTGTTAAATGAGAATGAAAAGTTTCATGTTGGAATGCTAATCCTAGGAAAACAAAATTACCACTATCTTACAAGAAAGTTCCTGAAGGAAGTCAATTAAATCATAGTTAAATCATTTGTGTGATAACCTGTGATCTGAACTGCAGAAGTGATGCACAACTTCAGCAACGGTTGATGCTCACAGGAACTAGGCAATGACTAGCTGAAGTGCTGCATAATGCCATGTACTCTGAAAAAGTGAATCCTGAATGCAACATAATGAGCACTTCAAATGAATGGATACTTTTGATCTTAATGTCTCTGTACCTCTACTCTTCCTCTTTACAACGGAAATAATATCATCACCCGAAAGGGCTCTTAGACGAATAAAGTCATTGGTAATCTTGGTACGCTGAAGAAGAATACAACAAAATACTGAAAGGCTGTTTGTTAAATATGCATGATCTCTCCCATACACTTAGCAAGAGTAAGGCTCCTGGGGACTCAGGTGTCCAGGATCAAAGTATTTGATTATGGACTTACGGAGTCAAGAACTGTGTTACAATGCGCATCAACAGGTTGGCAATAGCAAACATAATTTCAGCATTTTCTGACCTGTGAGTGTTTGACTTTTTGATCTTAGCATCATTTCTGTGTGTGTAATACACGCTATGTTACGGAATTATTACTTTTCTTACAATTGTGCTAGAGAGGACTTTAAAAGTTCGTGGGTTTCACCCTTATCCGTCTCCCTCTAAAGAATGAGTTCTAAATTATCATGAATGAAATGTACAGGATTAAGAAGAACCCAGACCTCTCATAACCTCATCTGACTGTGCCAATCTTCCCCCAGCCGAGGGAGATAATTACAATAAAATAGCTTGTCCATATTCTGCAACATCTTTAAAATCCATTGTTTCATGGCTAGAATCGAGCAGTGGCTAACCTCTGTTTCTCATTCGGTGAACCTCCATTTCTACCACTGGGAAGCTGAAAAGCTACTGCAGACCTTTGAGATTTTATGTATAGAAAACCATTGTCACTTGCCCAAAGTTGTATCTTGCCTCAGCAAGGGGTAACAATGAAGGGAATGCGCACGTCAAAGTGAAGGGCTGGAAGAAATCATGCTTTGGAATGTTATTTTAAAAATGAGCAACATGTTCCTTTTTGAAGGTTGTTTGAATTTGGAAAATCAGAATTACACACAGGAAATCGGAAACAGACAAGTTAGGCAGCTCTATGTTTTGTAGCTTGTACTGTGGACTCTCAACCTAGGAAGATTCTGAGACTTACAAACTTCTTTTTATCTCAGGAAAAAAGGAAAAGCAGAAATCTAAGAAATTCTGGAAAACAGTATATTTGAATAGGTTGCACTTTGACCTCATCAGCATGTTTTTGCTTTTAATATTGCACATGTTAGTTTTGTACTTATAAAATATGGTACATTTCAAATAGCATTTCAGTTTTGTTCAATTGATATTCTCCAACAGAAAATCTGTCCAGTGTATTTTTTTAACCTGCTCCATCAAAAATGTTTACAAAAGATGTTTCCTGCAAAAATGCTTGCAATGAATATAATTTTATTGTGCTGCTTCTCCAGTAACTCAAATAATAACAAAACAAACCTTTGTCCTAGGTATCCTGAAGAAATAAAATTGCTTGGAATTCTAACGTATACATTTAATTTACTCCAATGTCACAGTACACAATGCAAGGTTAAGAGAAAAAAAAGTACTTCTTATTTATTTCTTTTGTTTCTTGTTTTACAGAAATTTGATTTAAGCATCATTGTTGCAAGTGCAACTAAGAAAAATGAACAGAATTTCTACCTACCCACAGTCTTGTCTAGACAAAGCTGTCCCAAATATATTCCTCTTTGCAATGTCTTATGATATCATGACGATAACACTCATATCTTCATAAGCCAAATTATTTTGCATATTCCCCCATTATAGTACAATAAATTAGCTTAATACAAATAACTTGCAAATACTTATTTTGATTACAAATGCACAATATTCTTTAGGCTGCTTAATTAATATTTCCTGTGCTAAGAAAGCCTAAGCTTCTTTGATCACATTGCTTTAGATGAAATTCTTATAGAAAAATGATAAGAGGAAAAAAAGGAATTTATTAACCAAATCTGTCCATGAGAATCCTGCTCAATCCCCTCTGTCCCTTGCTAGTAAAACAATATGCATAATAATAAAAATAAATGAATAATTTGGCTAAACATCATGCACTCAGTACTAACACCTAATCCCTATTAACCAAAGAGAGATGATACTGGACAAGAGCAATAGTCCAAAGTCTCTTCACTTCCACCTCCATTAAATGGTCTGTTAAAATAGTAACCATAAAATAAAAACATTAGGTTTTATCATTTAATAACATTACTCATTATAGATGTGCTTCTATTTTACTGTATCAAAACCAGCCTTCTCTCTCTCATTCTCCCTCTCTCACAGAACAGAGGTTCTCAGGCATTGCTGGCCTCAGTGTTTCAGAAAAACATCTGTAGTTCACCGTCATTCACTGTTAGTAGAGAAAAAAAACAGAGTGAAGTTTAGCCTTTCATTCTGTGGTTTCTTATATTGGGTGGTACCTATCCATAAAAATATAATATCAGAATAATATATCATTTATTAGAGGACATGGGAATGTACACATTCATATAAAAACAGGATTTAAGGGCACTCCCCAGCTGCAAATCAATGAGCTGTAGCAAGCAATAGCCTTTTACCAAAATGGCCACTAGAGGCCTTCATTTACTAGGTTCTGTCAGATTTAGCAGACAGCACCGTGTTGTGCACAGAGGGCCCAGGTCCACCCCAAAGCTCTGTGAAATTCTGTTAACTTCGGTACCACAGCGTAATCCTCCATGTAAAAACATCTTGCATGAACTTCAGATAAATAAGTCAAGTTGATTCTTCTTCAGCTCGTTCTTGAAAAAGGAGAATCAATAAATAATCCAGTTGTGTGATTTGTCACAGGCTAGGCATGACATTGCGGTGCTTCCTTCCACCCTTCGGCATGCTGCCTTCTCCATTTGTGTTGTATTCCTACTGATTATGATGTCTTCCAAATGCCTCGGCGTGATAACAGTGTAGCTCCACGAGATAACCGTGAAAATGAGAGGAACTCCACTGCACAGCTGTGACACTCTTTTATTTCCAACCCCTGTGGCAACTCAGGATTGAATGTATTTTTATTTTTCTTTCTCTACTGTTGTTGGAATACAAAGTCAGTGTAATTGTGCCTGTGATTTTATTTCCTGCCTTTCCCCTCTGTGAGATTGGTATTCTCCCCCTAGCAGGCTGCTCTAAATATGGCAATGGTCAGTGTGTCAATAATCCCCCTCTTTAAGAGACCTGCAAACACTAGTGTTGGGACATTCTTTCTGTTCAGATGTCTAGCTGACGTCTGATGCTTAAAACAGAGCATGCTTTCATCCCTTCATGCATTGTCGTAAGCCCCTGATGATTACTCTTAAAAGGGTGCCTCAGCTAGTCAGGGAAACAGTTGCTGACCAAACGAGATACAGCTCACTTGATTCAGCCTTCTTGAATGCCTGATCATTTTAGTTTTCTATTAGCCTGATCAAACGGGACCATGTCTACCTTTGGCTACAGAAGAGAGCTTAGTAAATATGAAGACATTGATGAAGATGAGCTCCTTGCTTCTCTGACTGAAGAGGAGCTGAAGGAATTGGAGAGGGAGCTGGAGGACATAGAGCCTGACCGTAACCTTCCGGTAGGACAACGGCAAAAGAGTCTGACAGAGAAAACCCCAACGGGGACTTTCAGCAGGGAAGCGCTGATGGCCTATTGGGAGAGGGAGACCAGAAAACTCTTAGAGAAAGAAAGACTGGGTGCATGTGATAAGGTAAGACACTAAAGCTTTCACTGTTTTCTAAGAATATTTTGGCTTGTTTTTGGATGGCATGATCTCACTTACTGTTTTTATTTTCTTTCAATCTCTTTCAATATTTTTAAGAATGTTGTTAGTGATCCTTTTGCACTTCCTAAAGTGCTATATATTAATTAGCTCAGAGAGTCTTCGCTTTCTCCCGCTGGAATTACCTTAAAAGCTCAGTTGAGAGCAAAAGAAAATCCTGTAAAAAATAACTATCTTTAGTGATTAAAATAGCATAGGAATAAAATTTTAAAGAGCTGGGTAGAAATTACTCTTAGGTAGTGATGTAGACCTTTGGGTAACTGCTAATGCTATTTAAAAGCTAATAGATTGTTTTTTCCTTTCCTTTAAAAAATATCATTATTGATTCCTAAGAAACATGCCAGGAAGGGAATTTTGAAGATGAAGTATGTCAGAAGTGCAGTAAGGTGGCCAACAGACTTTGTGCTTGCTGCAAGTGAGCTGCCTGGAAGTGAGCAGGCTTATGTTGCTTTATTCCTG